AAGCAAGAATATACAATGGGAGAAAAAGTCTCTTTAATACATTGTGTTAGGAAAACTGGATAGCTACGTGCAAAAAAGACCATTCTGGAAAGCAGTATGTTAAGTTCCTCAAAAAACTAAAAATGAAAATAATATACAACTCTGTAATTCTACTTCTGGGTATATACCCAAGAAACAAAAACACTAATCTGAAAAGATACATGCACCCCTATGTTTATTGTAGCATTATTTACAACAGCCCAGATAAGGCAGCAACCTAAATTGTCCATTGATGAATGAATGAATAAAGAAGATGTGGTACATATCTACTATGGAATATTACTCACCCATAAAAAGAATAAGATATTGCCTTTCACAACATGGTTGGACCTAGCGAGTATTACGCTAAGGGAAATAGAAATCAAAAAAGACAAAACAAATGCACAAGAAAACAGACTCATAAATACAGAGAATAAACTGGTGGTTGCCAAAGTAGAAGGAATGGGGGTATGGGTAAAATGGGTGAAGGGGACAAAGAGGTACATGCTTCATTTACACAATAAATAAGTCATGTGGATATAAAGCATAGCATAGGAAATATAGTCAGTTATACTGTAATAACTATGAATGGTGACAGATTATACTTATCCTCATGAGAATTTTGTAATGCATATAATTGTGGAATCACTAGTAACATTGGAAAATCAACTACATTTCAGTTTTTTTAAAAAAGGCTTTCATGTATACACATACATCTCTGTCCTCACTTCGACATGAGAGGGGCAGGGAAGGAAGCATCCAGAGCTTAAATGAACCATGCGACCAGGACAATGTGGAATTAACCTGGGGAAGGAAGAAAGTGTTCTCACTGTCAGGGTGCTCACAGCTGCCTTCCCAGGGAGACCCTGTTGCGGTACCAGGTATGTGCAGTGAATGAGGAAGTGGGCAGCCTGCTGTTTAACCCAGAATGAGGGGATGCCACACATCTTCTGAGCCTGTACCACCTCACCTGCAACATGGCTATAACTATGCAGCATGTGCTGTACTTCCTACTTGCTGTATCATGGATGTCCATGGTATGCCCTTCCCCACTCTTGTCCCTTTTGTCTGCCGGGCTCCATTTAATGGTCTGAGTCAAGGATCTTTCAGAAGGCTGACCTGCAGAGCCCTGGACTATGATAACAGTGACAGGTTTCAGAGTGGCACCCTCACCTGAATGTACATTTCCAGATCAGGGAGGCAGAGCTCCTGAAAACATGGGGCCAAAAGGTTGCAAGGGAAACAAAAGCAGAAAGCTCAGACCCAGGGCCACCGCAGTGAGGAATTTAGTGCCTACAACTTTGGACAGGGGACAGGTGGCCTTCTCAGCTGCTGGGTGAGCAAAGCTACTAAAAATAACCTGATTTCAATGAGACCATTTCTAGCCACTGCTAATGGCGACCCCTGACTTCTTCTTCCCTTCTGGAGCAAACAATGCAGCTGGGTCCTGAAAGTCATTGTTTCTTTCCTGCCTGTTCATACTTCCCTGGCCCCTCCATCCTGTGTAGGGCAGAGGTCCGCTCCTCAGGGGAGAGGGGAGTGAGCAGGGGGAGCTGGGAAGGGGAAGCTGGCCTTGGCCCATGAGCTCACTGGCTGGGAGGGGGTCATGGTCCTATTCTGGCTGAGGAGGAAACCAAGAGGCAGTGAAAGGAAGTGGTTTCTGGGCTTGTGTGTCTTTCTATATATAGACACCCACAGGCTGCCACACACCAGTGGGCCTCTGGAACCATGAGGCTCTGGGGTCATTGGCTCGGGCAGGCTGCAGAACAGAGGGTGGGAGTGAGCAGCAGATTACTGCAGAAGGGACAGGTGGTGCCCAGCAGCCCCACAGTGGGGAAAGCTGCTGGTGTCACGTGGTTACTCTCCTGTTCCCTTACTCCAGACAAACAAAAATAAATTGGCCTTACCCAGCTCCTCAGTCTGTCCTTCTGCAGGGCCCCTATCTCACTCTAGCTGTGAGGGGGTGGCCAGTGAGCTGCTCCTCCACTTCCCAGTCTCGGATCAAGAATCAGAGAAGGCGAACCGACGGCAGCTGGGAGACCACGACTGTCACCAGGCTAGCCCACCTCCGTATCTTCCCTTAAACAGGACTGTGGGGAAATCCTTCGCTGCTCAGCATGGATTTTCTCATTTATAAGGGGGACTAATACCTAAACTGCATGTTCTGAGGACTAAGGGAGCTTAAGAATGCTGACCCCTCATGCCTGGCACACAGAAAGTGTGTGCCAGGTAAAGAGTAGTTAAAACCTACAGTCTCACCTATTAGTGGCAGAAACAGGGCATGAACGCTGGTTGCCCACTTACTGGCCCAGAGTGATTTTCTAGATTTTTTTCTCCTTGACTACCTTTGTAGTTTGGCATGCATGCACGCGCGCACGCGTGTGTGTGTGTGTGTGTGTGTGTGTGTGTGTGTGTGTACCAAGTATTGGAGTTGGTTTTATAGAGTCCTCCCAGAATCATACATAAATCTTTGGTATTTGATATGGGGCCATCTTTGGTCTCTGGGGAATTGCATAAATTGCTTCATATGGGGAGATGGGGGTGGCTTGTGGTCAGGAAGAAACTTAGACTTGGGGAAAAGGGAGGGGTGGAGAGAAACCAGAAATCTACCCTAACCCCCACTGAATAATTAGAAGCAAATTTTAGACTCATCTGTACAGAAGAGAAAATAAACCACTATCCCGTCTGCAAATTCCAGTCCTAGGGACTTTTTGAAGTTGAGAAAGAAGAGGCTCAAGGCAGCCCATGGCAATGCTGGGAAGCAGGGGCTGAGGAGCTTCCTCTTCCAGCCACAGGAGTAGGGACAGGTGTCTGCCTTCCCACTAGCCTCCTTCCAGGTGAACCCCCAAACCAGTGGGACACCTCAGGTGGGAGCCAGAACCCCTTCCTCCTTCATCTGAATTTAATCTTAAATGCTTTGATCAGACCATAGCCTGGACCCCAGCTCAGCCTTGGTGATGTGTGTGGTGGTGGGGAGGGGGACTGGTTATCACCGTGGCCCCAAGGACCGAGCCAGGGACGCTCAAGCTTCCCCAGTATGCAGGGCAGTCCTGAACAATGGGAACTGGTAACACCAACAGCAAGTCCTAGTCAGAAACACTGCTTTAATTTACACTCTAAATACCAGTCATGTCCCCAGTTTTTCATACAAGACAGGCATTGGTCCCTGTGTCTTTCAACAGGATGTAAAGTAACAGGTCCTGGAGCTTGGCTAGCCCTGCCAAGCTCAAGTCCTTCTTTGGATCTCTATGCAGTAAGAATTAAATGACATTTTTAGGTTTTTTTGACTCTCAAAAATAAGAGCTTACAAGGCAGAATAAACAAGCAGTGCTCCAGATACCAGCCGGCTAATATTAGCATCTGGAGGGCGAACAGGATTCCCCAGGAGAGCAGAGGAACACGTCAGTGGTTTAACTGGTGCCCACCCATCTCTGGTCACCCAGAGGTTGTGAGTCAGGGGCAGAGTGACAGTTGGGGGGCCACCAATGATGTAGCTCGGTCAGGCAGTAATTCTACACAATCTTAGAATAAAAATAACTGGCCAAGAGGCAGGATGCAGCCCAACCCGTGGTGACCTTATATGCTCTGGGACAACTTGATAGGCTGATGTAAATAGAAACCCCAGAAACCCCAGGCCTCAGGGGCCCAGCGGAGGGCAGGCTGAGTCCTGTTCTCGAAGCAGTGGCCCTGGTATGAGGCTGGTGACTCTACTATGGGAGCCGTGGTGGGTTGGCCGCCTCCTTCCCCACTCCTCCCGTTACAGGTTGGCCAGTGAGCCGCCCACCTGATGAAATAGCAGCAGAAGATGAGGCTGAGCACGAAGACAAAGATGCCTGTACCAAAGATGACCATGTAGATGTTGAGAGGAAGGTCCTGGAAACTGATGGGTGGCATCGAGCAGGACTTGTTGGTGCTAACCAGTCCCAGGCCACAGAAACACCCTGCAAGAAAGGGGGAAGAAAAAGAATTTTAGAGTTGGCAATTCACCATGGGGACTGGTGGTAGTCTGCGTCATCAAGGACGGAGAGAGAAAGGGCAGGCTCGGAGCTCCAAAACCTGATTCAGGGGCTTAAGTTTATTTCCTAGCTCTAACACTTACCAGCTATGTGTTCTTGGGCAAATTTCTTAACCAATATATGAAATGGGATACTACACATAGGCCTTAAAACAGCACCCCTATCTAGGGGATCCAACATTCAGGCAATGGGCAGAAAATGGAAAATTCAATTCCAATGAAGCCCATATAGTACCAACAGTGAAATGAACAGCCACGTGTATTTGGATCCCAATTCCCCCTCTCCCTGGCTATGTGACCTTTAAGAAATTACCTCTCTAGGCATCACTTTGCCATATGAAAACAAGCCAAATACAGAGAGGACTGAAAATGATGGTGTGAGAAATATGCTTTGTAAATTGCAAAGTGCAGTCAGAAAGGTTCTCTGTCATTATTAAGCCACCTGCTCCAGAAGACAAGCTTCACCAGGATAGAAACTGTTCACCTCTAAAGCTGAGCCAGCATTCCAGAAAGTGGCAGGAGGGCAAGGAGGTGGGAGTTTGCAGCTTACTTTTAGTGCCCACCTTACCCCTTTCTGCTCAAAGCCTTGATGTGCAGTCCCATAGTGACAGCATTAGAAATTCAGAAACACCCCAAATGAAATGAATTCGAACCCACACTTTAACGAGGTCATTAGCAAACTGCTGTAGGATCAGCAATTGCTGTATGTGTGGGAAGCACGGGCCAGCCAGCAGATGCTTCCCCTTCTCATATGACTCAGGGTAAATCCTGATGGTCTACCAATCATGGTAGTTCCCCCGGCCAGGGTTTGGTGTTGAGGTATGTATATGACCGGTTTCTGGCAAATAAACAACAGGTCTGCTAGACAAAGAAAGGTTTTTATCCTTTTTTTTTTGCAGGGGGGTGGGGGGTCACATCTCCCTGAAACACCTGAACAGCGAGCAGCAGCCAAGTCGTAGCTGGAAGGAGAGCAGTTCAATAGAAAGTCAATGGCAGACGGTGGCAGAGGGCATAGGGAAAGGAGAAAAGAGGGAAGACTGTCAGTTAAATTGCTGGGTTAACCAATCCTGGAGCCACTCTCTATCTTGGTTCTGATGGTCACTACATTTTCTACAATGTTAAACCATAAGGGGAATAAAACAAACCAGGATATAAACAAAAGCCAGTTGAGTGATTTTTCCTGCTTGCTGGCAAAAAAATCATAGTGATCCTGAAGATAAGCTGATATTTCTTGAATTTCAGAAAGTGGTGAGATGAAAAACTAGAATTTATCATCTATGTAC